CCTTCGCCTCCTTGAGGCCTTGCACTTCAAGCTTCAAGGCATCCCGCTTAGCCTTGAGGTTGTCCACCTTGAGCCCTAAGGCCTCCTGACCGACCTTGAGGCCATTCACCTCGGCCCTCAGCTTGTCTTTGTCTTGGGCCAGCTCCCCCTTCTTTGCCATTAACACCTCGATGAAGCTCTTCTGAGCCGAGGCGTCACTCTCCAGGCGGTGGACCTGACAGCGAGCTGCCCTTAACTCAGTATGGGCTACGCGAGATGACTTCTCAGCCTCTAGAGCCCGCCTCAGGTGCCGATCTGATTGAAGGGTCAAGGCGCGAATGGTGGTGTTCACCTGCAAAAGGGAAACCGGTCAAGAGGGAAATCAAAAAAAAAAAAGAGAGAGAGAGAGAAGAAAGACTCACCACCATAGTATGAGTGGCAGCTCGGGCGTCGAGCTGACCAAGAGTGAGTTCGGCCCACTCGCTGACCTCCCCCGGGTATGCAGCCAGCTTGCTCTTCTTCAGGCTACACTGGGGATTTAGGATGGTTTGGCTCCCCTGACCCTCCGAGCTGGAAGCCGTCATCTCCACATCACGAGTGGAACTCTCAGAGGCCTTGGCGGCAGCCTCGGCAACAGCAGCATTGGCCTCGGCAACGCTTTCACCAGTAGGTCCGGTGGGCTTGGCAGCAGGCTTGGTGGGCCTAACGGCAGGTTCCGCAAACACCTCGGGCCCCTTAGGCACGACCCCTTCTTCCAAGTCAACGACAGGCGCGGCTACCACCTCGGGCCCCGAGGCTGAAGTCTGCAGAGGTTGGGGCTCGGCTGAAGCTCACGGGGACTCAACGCGCGCCTTCTTGGCTACGCGTATCTTTCTCTTCATCTGGCGGAAGAGCTTCTGGTTGTCTATTCTCTCCGCCTCCATGGGACCTGCAGCAAAACACGACATCAACAACCCGAAGTAAACATATGAACAGAAAGACGAAGTGAAGGAGGACTTACCCAGGCTCAAGCTCGCCTGGACGAGCTTCTCCTCAGAAGTGAAGTCTTTATAATTCAACCCGAGCTGAGCCAGTGACTGGAGCACCTTCTTGGTCTTCCCGTCTAGGATGACACCGGAGTCTTGAACGGCTATCCTTCAATCGGTGGGGAAGGGCTACCCCGTACTACTCCGAACTACGAAGTAG